GAACCCAGGGCCTCATGTATGCAAGGAAAGCACTTACCACTGAGCTACATTCCCAGCCCCACCTTTAATATCTTAACTACAGTAAAAATAATCTTTCTTGAATACTCCAATTCTGACCAAGGTATTCAAAACAAGCTTAGGGAAAACATTAAGGTCAACAGATTTCTTTGTTTGTTTGTTAGTTTGTTTTTTGTTGTTGTTTTTTTCAGTCATGGGGCTTGAACTCTGGGCTTGGGCGCTATCCTTGTGCTCTTCAGCTCAAGGCGAGTGCTCTACCACTTAAGCCACAGCGCCACTTGAGGTCAGCAGATTTCTAAAGTAAGACTGACCTTTATAGAGTGTTGAATACTCAATTGTAATTTATTCTCATATCAGTCAAATTTCCCCCATTAGACAGAAATGTGATATCTTAAAGGCACAGGATATTGAATATGGTATGTAGGCTTTTCTTTACTTTTGTACTCTTTTTTTCTTTTTTTCGGGGTGGGAGGGGGCGGCCGTGGGGCCTGAACTCTTGGCCTGGGCGCTGTCCCTCAGCTCTTCAGCTCAAGGCTAGCGCTCTACTACTTGAGCCACAGCGCCACTTCCTGCTCTTTTCTTTTTGCTTATGTGGTGCTGAGGAATCGAACCCAGGGCCTCATGCATGCAAGGCAAGCACTCTATCACTGAGCCACCTTCCCAGCCCCTACTTTTGTACTCTTAATACCTATATTCATATCCTCTGCCGATATTCATTTTCAAAATTAACACCTTTAAATTGGTAGCCTCCTTTTAATTAACTTTGTGCATTTGGGACACTTTGTCACCAAGACTTTATATAGGGCTTGGGAATATGGCTCAAGAAATAGAGTGCCAACTTAGCAAATATGAGCCCCTGAGTTGAAACCCCAGTACCCAACTGTGTGTGGGGCGGGGGGGGTGTATACAATTCTGTATTCATGAGTGGTATAATCTTTACAAATTTTTGATAGCTGTGATGAGAGCCTTTGGTACAGAAATTTTTGTGAAGTTGTCTTTAGGACATGTCCTAAATGTGGAATTGCTAGTCAACAATTGAGTGGGTTTTTTTCCCCCAGCTGCTTAGGAAGTAAAGACCAGGAAGAGGATAGTTTGAGGTCAGTCTAGGCAAAAATATGAGCCCTCATCTCAACCAACAAGCCTGGCATGGTAATGAATGTCTGTCATGCCAGCCATATGGAGGACATGATCAGAGACTGGTGTGTGTGTGTGTGTGTGTATGCACGCACACGCGCGCATATGTGCTGGGGCTTGAACTCAGGGCCTCACACTCTTGTTTAGCTTTGTCCATGCAAAGCTGGCATTCTGCCACTTGAGTCACACCTTCCTGGCATTTTGCTGGTTAATTGGAAGGAAGAATCTTGGATGTTTCTGCCCCGGCTGGTTTTGAAACATTAATCTTCAGATCTCAACCTCCTGAGTAGCTACAGTTACATGTGTAAGTAACTGGCAACTGCATAATTTTTTTCTTAATTTCCTTTCCATCTTTTTTCTTTCTTTTTGTAGTGCTGGGTTCTGCTTATTAAGCAGATATTATACCCTGTGAGCCATGATCCTAGTCCTTTTCGTTGTAGGTTTTTGTTTTTTGTTTTTTTGCTGGTCGTGGGGCCTGAACTCTGGGCTTGGGCACTGTTCCTCAGCTCTTCAGCTCAAGGCTAGTGCTCTTACCACTTGAGCCACAGCGCCACTTCCAGCTTTTTCTGCTTATGTGGTGCTGAGGAATCGAACCTAGGGCCTCATGCATGCAAGGCAAGCACTCTGCCACTGAGCCACCTTCCCAGCCCTTCGTTGTAGTTATTTTCAAGTAGGATCTTATAGTTTTGCTTAGCCCAGACTAGACCACTATCCTCCTATTCATACCTCCATTACCTTGGAGTCACAGGTATAATAATGACTGACTCAACCATGCCCATCTTAGTGTTTGAGAGGGGGGTGTTACTTTTGTCCAAACCATTATCCTCCTGATATCTTGATATCTGCCTCAGGAGACGGGATTTCAGGAGTGAGCCATTATGCTCAGCCTTAAAAAGGCTTTTTTTCTTTCTTTCTTTCTTTGTGTTGGTTCAGGGGCTTGAACTCTGGGCCTGGGCCCTGTCTCTCAGCTCTTCACCTTAAGGGGAGCGCTCTACCAGTTGAGCCACAGTGCCACTTGCATTTTCTGGTGGTTAATTGGAGATGAGAGTATCACGGACTTTCCTGCCCTGGCTGACTTGAACTGGGATCTTCAGATCTCAGCCTGCTAAGTAGCTAGGATTATAGGTGTGAGCCACCAGTGCCCGGTAAAAAGGCTTTTTTTGTTGTTGGTGGTGGTGGTTGTAGTTGTTGGGCTTGAACTCAGGGCCTGAGCACTATCTGGCTCAAGACTAGCACTCTACTACTTTGAGCCACAGCACCAGTTCTGGTTTTCTGGTGGTTAATTGATGATTAGAATCTCACAGACTTTCCTGCCCAGGCTGACTTTGAACTGGGATCCTCAGATTTCAGCCTCCTGAGTAGGATTACAGGCAAGAGCCACCAAAGCCTGGCTAAAAAGAGTTTATTACTTTTTTTTATATTACTTATTTTTAAAATATATAATTATACTTATTTATAATTATAGTACTTACTTTTGTATTATCCTAAAAGAAGACACATCAATTTTTCACCTGTTAACAGGACATCATGTTGTGAAGTTCTCTGCCCAAATACCTAACATAGTTAGCAAACTACCATAGTATGTGTGGTTTTTTTTTTGTTTTGTTTTGGGGTTTTGTATTCTTTTTCAGTCTTTCCCTCTCCCTTCTTTTTTCCCCCAGTCTGGGTATTAAAGTCAGGGCCTCACACTTACGTTTTATCCCTTGAGGTATGTCACTGTCCTTTTGGTTTTAGTTGGTTTTTCAGGTAAGGTCTGTGCTTTTGTGATCCTCTCCCTCCCAGGTAGCTAGCACCATAGACATGTTCCACAACTAGCTTTTTTTTTTTTTTTGGTCAGTCATAGGACTTGAACTTAGGGTCTGGGCTCTGTCCCTGAGCTCTTGCACAAGGCTAGTACTCTATCACTTTGAGCCACAGTGCCATTTTAGGTTTTTGAGTGGTTAATGGTAGATAAGAGTCTCAAAGTAGCCAGGTGCTGGTGGCTCACACCTGTAATCCTAGCTACTCCAGAGGCTGAGATCTGAGGATTGTGGTTCAAATCCAGCCCCGGGCATCTGTGAAACTCTTATCTCCAATAAACCACCAGAAAACCGGAAGTGGCGCCATAGCTCAAGTGGTAGAGCACTCGCCTTGAGCTGAAGAGCTGAGGGACAGCGCTCAGGCCCAGAGTTCAAGCCCCATGACCGACAAAAAAAAAAAGGCCTCAAAGTCTTTACTGCCTGGGCTGGCTTCAAACTGTGATCTTCAGATCTCAGGTTCCTGAGGAGCTAGGATTACAGGTCTGAGCCACAGTTACCTGGCTTTTTGTTTGTTTGTTTGTTTTTGAGCCAGAGACTTACTTTTGCTGGGGCTAGCCTCAAACCAAGATCTTCTTACCTATGTCTTTTGAATAGTTAGGATTATAGAATACCCGTTGCTCTCTAATACCCTCTGATTATCTATATTTGATTCATATACCCTTCCTAGAACATATGTCCAATTGCAACAAAGATTTTATTTTTTTTGGCTCACTGCCATACCTGGTACATAGTAGGTGCTCAATATTTAGTTTAACTGTTGAGAATTTAAATGGAGTGAAATATCACTCTATGCAGCCATCATGTTCTTGTTGGTTTTTCTATTTCAAGTTTCTGTGTCTTTGTTTGCAACACTTTCTGAATGCTTTCTTACCTTTTTTTTTTTTTTAACTCTGATACAGTTGTTTCTTTCCCTTTTACTACCACAGAATTATTCTCTCTCAAACTGTTAAATGCATGTCTTTTTCTAACATGTCTCTTTGCTAAAATTTCTTCACATTCTTTTTTTTTTTTTTGGTCAGTTGTGGGGCTTGAACTCTGGGTCTAGGTGCTGTTCCTCAGCTCTTCAGCTCAAGGTTAACACTTACCACTTGAGCCACAGCACCACTTCCGGTTTTCTGAGTGATTAATTGGAGATTAAGAGTCTCACATCCTTTCCTGCCTAGGTTGGCTTTGAACCTCAGATCTCAGCCTCCTGAGTAGCTAGGATAACACCTGGCTTGTCTTCACATTCTTTTTTTTTTGGGGGGGGGGTCCGGTTGTGGGGCCTGAACTCTGGGCCTGGGCACTGTCCCTCAGCTCTTCAGCTCAAGGCTAGCGCTCTACCACTTGAGCCACTGCGCCACTTCTGGCTTTTTTCTTTTTGCTTATGTGGTGCTGAGGAATCGAACCCAGGGCCTCAGGCATGCAAGGCAAGCGCTCTACCACTGAGCCACTTTCCCAGCCCTTGTCTTCACATTCTTTTTGCCCACTCACTCAATATCAAACAAACTACACATATTCTTACCCGGGTACTAAGATACCTGCTTGAACTTGAACATAAATGGCCCAGCTGGATCCTGTCATTTCATCTTTGGGTGACTTCTTCAACATGTCAGCATTTAGCATGCAGTAATGGAATTTTGCATCATTTTCAAAACAAGGTATTTTTTAAAATGTTTTTAAGATATACCTTTCTTTTGCTAATCGGTTATGCATTTATATAGTTTAGAAACAGTATAGATTTAGATTCAACAACAGGCTACTCTCTTTTCCAATATTCCATTCACCATGGTAGTATTTACCTTCACATTAGTATTTACCTTCACATTAGTAATAACTAGCATGATTATGTCACTCAAAGTTTTTCGACTTGTAATATAGAACCTGACTACCAGTGTACCAATCCCCCATTTTCAAAATGCCTAATGAGTTGAGCTGTTTGATCTTCAGATGTCATGATCTTTGGATCTTTCCTTTGAGTTGGTCAAGAAGCCCAAGATCTAGTGTCCTTCAAATCTCCTACCCAAAGAAGATTACTTAGTTACTAGTGTTTGGGGACCTTAATTAAGCAAGAAGTTTTTGTTGGGTTTTTTGGTTTTGTTTTGCTAGTTCTGGGGCTTGAACTCTGGGCCTGGGTACTGTTCTTGAGCCTCTTTGTGTTGAAGGCTAGCACTCTATCATTTAAGCCACAGCACTTTTTCCTGCTTTTCTGAGTAGTCTATTGGAGATAAGAGTTTCATGGGTCTTTCCTACCCAGGCTGTCTTCAAGCTGCGGTCCTCAGATCTCAGCCTCCTGAGTAGCTAGGATTATAGACTTGAGCCACCAGTGCCGGGCTACACAAAGTGTTTTTTTTTTGGGGGGGGGGTCTGGTCGTGGGGCCTGAACTCTGGGCCTGGCCGCTGTCCCTCAGCTCTTCAGCTCAAGGCTAGCGCTCTACCACTTGAGCCACAGCGCTTTTTTCTTTTTGCGTATGTGGTGCTGAGGAATCGAACCCAGGGCCTCAGGCATGCAAGGCAAGTGCTCTACCACTGAGCCACCTTCCCAGCCCTACACAAAGTGTTTTATCTTTTACACTGAGGTCATTTAATTTCCCTATTCTCAAACTATACTCTTCCTTTGACAGTGTTGACTGTCTTCTAGACCTTGTTTTATCCACTTCAGAGAATAAACCTCTTGGTGTAGTCTGTTTGACTAGGAGAGGATCCGACAGGGACGTATTAGAGAATAGATCCCTCATTTTTTAACTTGTAAGTTTTGTTGCTCTGACTTCTTTGCCATTCTGATTTTGTTATTTTAAGTTGCTTCAGATCTGGCAGCAGACCCTATTGTGTTCTTATAAAACCACTTCCTCCAGTCTCCTCTTCTGCTCCTGTCCTCAACAGGTGGTTATCTCTAGATCGCTGTAGTAAAGTTCTGTGACACTTTCCATTGCCTTTCTATATCTGGCCGCTGAGTTTTTGAATTATGCCAATACCCATTTCTACATCTAGCAATTAACTGTGTTGGTTTTTAGCAAGTATTTTAATGTGCTCTATTACTGATACTCTCTCTTCCTGGAATGTTTTATGTTCTTTTGGTCAAACCTAGTTCAGTACCTATTGGACCTGGTCTAGACTGAATCCTGTCTAAATCTTTCTCTACCAAATTTCCCCTCTTCATAATAATTATTCCTTGTTTTTGAAATTGAATGATGTTAAAGAGTTTTTCACACTTTCTTCATGTGTTTTAATATTTTTGAATTTTGTTTCCTGCATGTGGCCTATATTACATGAGTGTTTCTTTGTTATTCATTTATGGAAATTTTTAAACATACAGAATAGCAAGAATAAAATAATGAATTCCTATGTCATTTTATTGTTGTCACTTAGCAATTATAAGCACATTGCCAGTCTATTTTCGTGTATATCTCAATCCACCCCAGATTGTTTTGAAGTAGCTGTTAAATATCTTATTTTCATTCTTAAATATGCCTTATTAGATCAGTTTTCCAAGCTATCTCTTGAATATTCCTTTTTTTTATGCAGATTGCAGTACCTAGGCATCCCACAAAGTAGGAGGGTCACCTTAGGGGCAACCTTTATCTGCTCAAAAGTTCATCTCACATTAGCAGTGAGCATCTGGTCATCACTCCTTACTCATAGGTTTAAGGCTTTCTTGAATATTCTTTTTTTTTGGCCAGTCCTGGGGCTTGAACTCAGGGCCTGGGCACTGTCCCTGAGCTTCTTTTGCTCAAGGCTAGCACTCTACCACTTGAGCCACAGCACCACTTCCAGTGGCTTTTTCTATGTATGTGGTGCTGAGGAATCGAACCCAAGGCTTCCTGCATGCTAAGCGAGCACTCTACCACTGAGCCACCTTTCCAGCCCCTTGAATATTCTTTTAATACAAAATCTAGAGCTCATGAGCTGGGCTCCAGTGGCTTACGCCTGTCATTGTAGCTACTCAGGAGGCTGAGATCTGAGGATCACAGTTCAAAGCCAGCCCTGGCAGGAAAGTCTGAGAGACTCTTATCTCCAATAAACCACTCAGAAAACCAGAAGTGGCACTGTGTCTCAAGTGGTAGAAAGCTAGCCTTGAGCTGAAGAGCTGAAGGACAGCGCCCAGGCCCAGAGTTCAAGCCCCAAGACCGACCAAAAAAAAATCCAGAGCTCATGATTGCAAAATTGAGTACTGTGTCTCTTAAATTGCTTTTGGTATAGAGGTTTCTCTCCATTCTTTGTACATTTTATTTATTCAATGAATTCCAGTTTTGCTAATTGTATACCCAGTATATTTAACATGTTCTATTTACCCAAGATGCACGTTTGATAAGCAAGCATTCTTTATAGATGGTTGTATATTCTTCATTAGTGGTTACAAACGTCCTGAAAGTTCCATCTTTTATTTCATTATAATGAGCACATAGCAAGGACAATTTTTAATGGAGTCTAAATTAGGGTCATTTATTTTGATAAATGAGAAACATAAATTTTGTTTTTATGAAGCTATTATGTTATTCTGTAATCTATGTACTTGTATTTTTATTAGACTTACCTGTTTGCAGAGGTACTTTGGAATAGCAGTTTGTATGACCAAGAGCATCAAAATGATACTTTAAATGAGCTAAAAGTACCTTCGGTTTGGAAAAATTTTTCAGGGAATGTAATTTTATCTCCATTATTAATCTTGATTTTTCTTTTTTTTTAACTTTTTGAAACAAATACTGAAATTTTCCTTTTTCATTTACTCAGCACAAACATTTCACTGAAGATATTCAAACAAGGCAGTATCGCTCCCTGGAAGTTCTGATAGGATCTGGCTATAATACACCTGCTGACATTTGGAGCACAGCATGCATGGTAATGTTCTTTCTGCATGTCCTTTACTCATTATGTAATAGTGTCATACCTTTTTGTTAATAAGCAGAAAAAGAACTTGACATAGGTGACTTACCACAGAAACTCTGTCCTATAGCTGAAGAGATCTAAATTGGAAACAGGTCCTATTAAGGCATTATTAGCTTGGATTAGGAGATTACAAGTACCTTTATCTTTTTTGGGGGTTGCGGGGGTGGTCAGTCGTGGGGCTTGAACCAGTCTGGGCCTGTGGATGCTGTCCCTGAGCTCTTCAGTTCAAGACTATCACTCTACCACTTAAGCCACAGTGCCACTTTTGGTTTTCTGGTGGTTAATTGGAGATAAGAGTCTCAGAATTTCTTGCCCAGGCTGGCTTTGAGCTATGATCCTCAGATCTTAGACTTCTGAGTAGCTAGGGTTATAGGCATGAGCCAACAAGCTCCTTTATCATTTTAGAATTTATCTGTTTCATTATTTCCTGGCAGAAACTCAAAATCTTATCATCATTTGTACTTTTATTTGTTTACTTGTCTCTCTTCCACAGGTTATATATCTGTTTCATACATGTTTTGTTTTTGTATTTTGCCTGTCCTGGAGCTTGAACTTGGGGTTTAGGCACTCCCCCTGAGCTCCTTTGCCCAAGGCCAGCACTCTACCACTTGAGTCACAGCACCACGTCTGGTTTTCTGGTGGTTAATTGGAGATATAAATCTCAAGGACTTTCCTACTTGGGCTGTCTTTGAACCGTGGTTCTCACTCAGATCTCAGCCTCCTGAGTAGCTAGGATTACAGACATTAGCCCACCAGTACTGGCTGGTTGCATGTTTTAAGTAGGTACTTTCAATGTAGAGAGCCTTTGCAGACTTGATAGGGTAAGGGCATAATTACAAGTTGTCTGTGTCATAGAGTAAGTCTTAAAGTTGGTATCTGTTGAAGAATCTGAATTCTAAGGCACTGCTGTCATTGAAAGGGAAGAATACCTAGATATTTGCTACATTGAAAGGTTAAGGATGAAAACATGTACAGCTCTCAAAGCAAAGCATTCTATACACAGAAAGCAGCAAGAGGACTTGAGAAAGACAAATATGCACATGCATCTTCACTTGAAGTTGATTGGCTACAGGGCATTCACCCCAAAAACTAGCACACAGTTGAGAGGCAGGCATTGAGTTATTGGCATTACTAAGGGTGTTCTGTTTTGGTCAGTTCCTATAGTTGTATATTGGAATATTAATTTTAGGGATGCTTTGATTTTAGCAAAGGAAAGCTAAAACTTTAACTTTTGTCCTTACAGTTTATTTTTTGTGCGCCCAACTTAATCCTTTTATGTATCTAATAAATATCTTAAATGACATGTTCAAAGCATTTAGTTCACTCCATATACATGTTTTTTATAAATGATCTTTTTCACTCGGACCAAAAAGTTTTAGTTCAATTCTTAAACATTAGCAGGTTCTATGTTCTACCTTCAGAATAGATCCTGTACAAACCACTTCCATTAACCCATTACAGCCCAAAACCTACTCTTAATTTTTTTTTTTTTGGTCAGTTGTGGGGCTTGAACTCTGAGCCTGGACGCTGTCCTTCAGCTCTTCAGCTCAAGGTGAGTACTCTACCACTTGAGCCACAGCACCACTTCCAATTTTCTGGAGGTTAATTGGAGATGAGAGTCTCACAAACCTTTCTGCCCAGGCTAGCTTTTCAGATCTCAGCCTCCTGAGTAGCTAGGATTACAGACATGAGCCACCTGCACCCAGCCTCCTAAGCTTTCGTTTTTTTATCCTTTTGTACTTCATTCTCATACAATAGCCTGAGTATCTTAATTAATAATTAGCTCTTTTACTGCCCTGTTATAATTGCCTGTTGAAGTTTTTGCATATGTTCATCAAGGGTATTGGTCTGTAATTTCTTCCTTGTAATCGCCCTTTTCTAGATTTGATATCACATCAGTTCTCCCTCTTATAAGTAGTTTGAAATAGTCTTTTCTCTTGGATTGTTGTTGTTGTTGTTTTTAAGACTTTGAGAAGGATCCTTAAATTCCTTATGTCCTGGGCTTTTCTTTGATGAGAGAGTTCTCATTCATTCAGTGTCCTTTTTCATTATCGTTTTATTCTGGTTTTCTGTTTCTTCATAAGTAGTTTTAGTACACTGTACATATGTATCTGGGAATTTGCCTACTTCTACATTTGCTAGCATGTAATTGTTTACATTAGTCACTTATGATCCTTCATATTTCTACAGTTTCAGAAATTTCAGGTCTTCTGTATTCATTTAGTTCTGTTTTGATTTTTTTTTCTAGTAAGTTTGGAGTTAATTTGTCTTTTTTCTAGCTCTTTTAGGAGAAGTATTAAATTGCTTGAGAATAGTTTACTTTTTGTAGGCATTTATTGCTGTCAACTTTTCCTTACATAGAACTGTTTTTGGCCGGGTGCTGGTGGCTCATGCCTGTAATCCTAGCTACTCAGGAGGCTGAGATCTGAGGATCATAGTTCAAAGCCAGCCGAGGCAGGAAACTCAGTGAGACTCTTATCTCCAATAAACCACTAGAAAACTAGAAGTGGTTCTGTGACTCAAGCAGTAGAGTGCTTGCCTTGAGCTGAAGAGCTGAGGGACAG